AACTCATGGATTTGGCAAATTTGAACTCCAAAGCTCATGCATGGAAGATTTTTAAACTCCTTTCTTTTGTTCTAAAATAACATGCAATGAAAACCATAAGCTCATGAAACTTTGAAACATGAAACATGATAATTTCTTGTAGATGATGAGTAAAACTTACATGCATGCAAAGATTTCAAGAGCAAAACCCAAGACATGAATGAACAAGGTATAATTCTCCGTAAACATGCACACAAGCCATTTTCTTGCTCAAAAACCCAACTTCACTTCAAATTCCAGTAATTGATTCACCAATTTCTTAGTACAAGATGCATGGAAGGTTGTCTACAAAAGAATAGGCTCTAGACTCTTACCTAGCTTCTTGATTTCGAACAATGAGAGATGGTCCTCCTAATTTCCTTCTTCTTCTTCAACCTCAAGAGCTCACTCTCTCACTCTCTAGTTACACTCTCTCTCTCTCACAAGAGACCAAAGAGGCAACCTACCACACCCCCTCACTCAGCTGAATATACACAACACACACCTCACTTTGAGCACCATACATGTGCACACACACACGCACTTCCAACACACACACACATGGGTTTTAATCCCCTACACTCAATACCACAAAATGCCTCAACACATTATACACTCAATCACATCTTGGATCATTAATAGGATTATATTAGGTACCAATCATGCATTATTTAAATCAAACATAAGTAACCTTAATTTATTCAGGTTAGCGCGAAATTCAGTTAATCCAAATTAGTTCCCATCAAGGTTCAATTTAATCACATGCGATTTTTACTGAATCGAATCAATTCCTAATAAAATTTTCCATGGTGTTCTAAAATTTTCAAATAACACGTTGATGTAATCAATTTCGATTTCGGATGCTGATAAGGCTTTCAATTTACATCTTAAAGCGAAATCCAAACAAATATTTCTACAAGTAACAGATAATAAGCCAAATATCATGCAAATCACATAATGATTGGTTCAATTAGGCGTTGTGGATTCGCTAGGTAATTGAGAGTATACCTGTGTAATTCCTTTAAATCTTCTTAGTGGATTGTTCTTGTGGCTGTTGCCGTGGTTTTTTGATCACAGTGGAGGTGTCCAATTGTGGTTTTTTTCCACGTAAAATCGTTGTGTTTCTTTGTCTTAATTGTTTGATTGGGATTGTTATATTCTGATTAAAATTGATACATAATCACAAATCAACATCTAGGGATTTTAAGTTTTTTCAGGGGTTATTACAATTATGGATCGTGCAATGCATGTTTGTCTCATGGATTTCCAAGAAACAACAGCGCCTCCTAGAGTAAAGACATATCCACTAGTGGATTTTAAATCTTTAGTATCCGATATCCAATTGGCATCACAATATTCTTCTAGTACTGCAGGATATCGAGTAAAGTTCAAACCATGATCACGGGTAATCTTAGATATCTAAGAACTTGAATGATCGCTTTTCCAATGGACTTCTCCGGGGTTACTAGTGTACCTACTCAATTTACTAATAGCATAAGCTATATCAGGACGAGTACAATTCATTAGGTACATTAGGCTTCCAATGATTAGGGACTATTTTAACTGAGAAACCGCATTACCTTTATTTTTCGATAAATAAATACTGATATCTACAGGTGTTCCAGCTACATTGATATCATCCTTGATAAATTTACCAAGAATTTTCTTAATAGAATGTGATTGAGATAATGCATATCCATAAGATGTTTTAATAATTTTCATTCCTAATGTTACATCTACGACCCCCATATCTTTCATATCAAATCTTTTATTCAGCATTTGCTTAGTTGATTTGATTATGTTTTGACTGCTTCTAATGATAAGCATGTCATCCACACAAAGACAAACGATAACATAACCTTTGTCAGTGTTTTTAACATAGACGCACTTGTCACATTCATTTATCTTAAACCCATTAGTAAGCATAGCATGATCAAATTTTTCATGTCATTGCTTAGGTGCTTGTTTTAATCCATAAAGAGATTTTACAAACCGACAAACTTTCTTTTCTTGCCATGGCACTACAACCCCTTCGGGTTGCTCCATATAAATCTCTTCATTCAGATCACCATCTGAGAACGCTGTCTTAACATTCATTTGATGTATCTCTAAATTATACAACGCTGCTATGGCAATAAGCATGCGGATGGATGTTATTCTTGTCACAGGAGAATATGTGTCAAAATAGTCCAAACTTTTCTTTTGTCTGTAACCTTTTACTACAAGTCTTGCTTTATGCTTGTCTATTGAACCATTTGCTTTCATTTTTCTCTTAAATATCCATTTATATTCAAGAGGTTTAGAACCAGGTAAAAGATCCATCAATTCCCAAGTATGATTTTGCATAATGGATTCAATTTCATTGTTAACAGTATCTTTCCACAAAGGTGCATCAAGACCTGTCATTGCAACTTTCTTTTCTTGCCATGGCACTACAACCCCTTCGGGTTGCTCCATATAAATCTCTTCATTCAGATCACCATCTGAGAACGCTGTCTTAACATTCATTTGATGTATCTCTAAATTATACAACGCTGCTATGGCAATAAGCATGCGGATGGATGTTATTCTTGTCACAGGAGAATATGTGTCAAAATAGTCCAAACCTTTCTTTTGTCTGTAACCTTTTACTACAAGTCTTGCTTTATGCTTGTCTATTGAACCATTTGCTTTCATTTTTCTCTTAAATATCCACTTATATTCAAGAGGTTTAGAACCAGGTAAAAGATCCACCAATTCCCAAGTATGATTTTGCATAATGGATTCAATTTCATTGTTAACAGCATCTTTCCACAAAGGTGCATCAAGACCTGTCATTGCTTCCTTAAAGCTTTGAGGTTCATTTTCTAACATGTATGTCAGAAAATCTGGACCAAAAAATTTTGATGTTCTTGCTCTCTTACTTCGTCTTGGTTCATCATAAGTTAAATCCTATTGGTCGAGACCATTACTAGTCTATCATGTTTGATTGTCATTAGTCTTTTGACTTTGTGTACAACCATAAGTTCTTTTTTGTGAACTTAATTCATGTCCTTTCTTATAAGGAAAGACATGTTAAAAAAACACAGTATTCCTTGACTCTATAATAGTGTTCACATTTATATAAGGTATTTCTGATTTATAAGTCAGAACCGATATGCACTATTATTCTGAATATAACCAATAAACACACAATCCACTGTTTTCTGTCCTATTTTAGTCTTTTTCGGAACAGGAACTTCAACTTTTGCCAAACACCCTCACGCTTTTAAGTATTTGTAAGAAGGCGATCGACCTTTCCACAATTCATAAGGAGTGTTATTGATTTTCTTGTGGGGTATTCTGTTAAGAACATAATTAGCAGACAATATTGCTTTCCCCCATAAGTTTTGCGGTAAGCTTAAACTTAGTAACATGGAATTCATCATTTCTTTAAGGGCTTTATTCTTCCTTTCAGCAATTACATTTGCTGTGGAGAATAAGGTGCTGTAGTTTAGTGAATAACGCCATGTTGTGCACAAAATTCATTTAATGGTGCATCATATTCACCAACCCTATTACTTCTAACCATTTTAATGGTTTTACCAAGTTGATTTTCAATTTCAGTTTTGTAGAGTTTAAACATTTCTAAGGCTTCATTTTTACTTCTAAGTAAGTATACATAACAATATCTTGTGCAATTATTGATAAATGTTATGAAATACTTCTTGCCTCCTCTAGTTTGAATAAATTTAAGATCACACACATTAGTATGAATTAATTTTAGAGGTTCAATTTTTCTTTCAACCGATTTAAATGGAGTCTTAGTTAGTTTCACTTCTATACAAATCTTACATTTGTGATTAAGATCAATTTCAAACTTTGGTATATAATCCAAACCAATTAATCTATGCAAAGTATCAAAATTTACATATCCTAATCTACCATACCATAAATTCGACTCAAGAATATAAGCAAAAGATGTGTTACTTTTATTAATAGCAAGTTTTAGTACAACCATCATTTCATTCAACTTGAAGAGACCATCACTCATGTATCCCTTACCAACATACATACCACTCTTTGTTAATACAAATTTATCAGACTTTAATACAAGCCTGAAACCATTTTTACTTAACAAAGAATCAGAAACTAAATTCTTCCGGATGTCTGGTACATGCAGTACGTTGTTGAGGGTAAATTCCTTTCCTGATATCATCTTCAAGATCACATTTCCTTATCCAGCCACAGTAGAAGTAGAAGAATTTCTCATGAAAAGTTGTTTACTATTTGCAGCCTCATTATAAGTAGCGAACATCTTTTTGTTCGAGCAAATGTGTCGAGTTGCCCCCAGTGTCAACCCACCATTCTTTGTGATTTCCAATCAAATTAGTCTCAAACACCACGACAGAGAGATTAATGTCATTTACCTCATCAGAGATGTAATCAAGTTCAATCACATTGGCTTGATTGGTGGTTTTCTTGCTTGTACTTCCGCAATCCTTTTTAGGGCGGCGTTAATTAGAAGCTCGATGTCCGGTCTTGCCACAATTATAGCATTTACCTTTGAACTTTTTATTGTCATTGTTGTCGCCTTGTTTAGGACTATCTCCAGTAAACTTTCTTTTTTTGTTATGTAGTTTGTGTACTTGTTCAACCACATTAGCCTTGGCTTCAATAAGATTTTTACCATTCATTTTTTTAACCTTTTGGTTATCTTCCTCAATTCTTAGTCTTACAATCAATTCATCAATGGTCATCTCTTTGCGTTTATGTTTTAAATAATTTTTTAAATCTTTCCAAGTCAGTGATAACTTTTCCACTAAAGCAGCGACTTGGAAAGATTCGCTACGAGACATACCTTCAGAATGAATATCATGCAAAATTAATTGAAAATTTTCAACTTGAAAAATTACCATTTGAGAGTTTATCATAACGAAATCCAGAAATTTACCGACAACAAATTTCTTTGTGCTGGCATCTTCTGTCTTGTATTTTTTCTCCAAAGAATCCCATAATTCTTTTGCTGTTTTCAGAGGGCTGTAAACTTTATACAACATGTTGTCAAGACCATTAAGGATATAGTTTATGCATAAAAAATCAGAATATTTCCAAGCGTCTACAGCGGCAACAACTTGTCGATCACTTTCATCATCTCTAAGTATTGGAGCCTCTTCACGGAGAAACTGGACCAAATTTTGAGTTGTAAGATAGAACATCATTTTCTGCTGCCATCTCTTAAACTCAGTGCCATTAAATTTTTCCTGTTTTTCTCCATGATTTATCGAAACTTGAACATGGTTCTGGATAGGGATCGAAGTTGTTGTAACGATCGGATTTGGAGTACTACTTTCATCAGCCATAATATCTGACTACAAAAATAAAATAAAAAAAAACCAAAACACAAATTAATTTTTTAGTTACTAAAATCAAAAAATAAATTATAATACAAAATAATTTTATTTTCCTTGTTACTAAAACTAGAAAAATAAAATACCACAATAATTTTCTGTAATACAAATTATTCTGCAATTGTTAATAACACTAGTATATTACTACTAGTTGTCAAAGAAAATTAACAGTTTATTACTACTATTTGTCAAACAGTATATTACTAATATTTGTATTTTTCAACCAGAATATCACTTTGTGAAAGCACAAAAAAACAAATACAATGAAGACACCAAAAAATAATATGTCTTAAGATTGTTGGATAATCTTCGCTGTATTTAAAAATAAATTCTGTTTGTGTACTTAACAACAAACGAAATACAAAATAACTAAAGGAAATGAGAGAAATTGTTTAATTACAAAAATCAAACCAGAATGTAAAATAAATAAATAAAACAGAAAGTAAATTAATTATTTACCAAATTAATTTATTGAACAAATTTTTGATCAAGTCTAGTATTTAACACTGTGTCCTTAAGACAGATTCGTCATCTCCACGGTACTTTCAGATTGTGGATGTCTATCTCCCAAGATAAAATGATCAACAGTGAATAGTAGCAGCACTACACACTATTTACACAACGAACACACTAAGTGTTTGCACTCTTTCTCACAAGGAAAATAATGCAGCAAAATGCAGAGAATATTGACTAAATTATGGACGAAAATTAGAGTCCAAAAATCTGAATGAGGAGCTGCCTTTACATAGAAAAACTCGTGGCTGTATGGTTTGAATTAAATAGGTGCAAAACCTGTTTGAACAGGTATGTTACCTGTTCGGTTTGAATGAACAGATACAAATATGTTGGGTTTAAATTTCGAACAGATAAAAACTGTATTGAACAGATTTGAATCTCCACAGAAATTCGGAAGAAGTGAAAAACAAATTTGAATTTTTCCTACCAAAATTTGAAATTAAAACTTTGGACAAATTTTATTTTATCAAAAAATAAAATTTAATTCAAATATTTTTTGTCCAAAAAAATAAGTATTGGGCACGTGCCCAGCCCAGTTCGCCCGATCGACCGGACGACGCTTGTGTTTATTTTTGGGTCCAATGGGTCTAGCCTAATGTGCCCATAACCTCTCCCTTCTACAAACTTGGGGTGTCCCTTTAGGCCCTTCCCAACTTACAAACCCACAAAATTCTTCCCACCAAACCAATGTGAGACAAGCCTTTATTCAAACCTTAAGGAATTTCCACCAAAAACTTCATTTCCATGAAACTCACTTTGGCTTCAATTTTTCATTCACTTGATAATGGTTTTGAGCAATCAAATATACCACGTGAATCATAACGCGGCATAGAACGCGTTACCACTTAAACCCGCCAACTTTGATATATGGGTCTCACCTAAAAAATAGACCAAAATTAAGGAAAAATCATATTTGCCAAAACCATTTCTAACAAAGATAAGATAAAGATTGCACACTAATCAACTTTACACGATTAGTGAAAGATACTGAGCATTTTGTGTTGGCTTCTCAAGCAGAACAAATAATGTATGTAGAAGACTTCAAACACAAAAATTGGTAAGTTGTTATCAAGATAAATTCGAGAGATTTTTAAGCAATATTTGATTAAATCCTTTGGCTTGCTTACATACTAGAGAAATGCATGATGGTGACAACACTGGCAATGGATTGAGAACAAAACATATGGGACCACGGGTATAGCGACGATGCACTGCTAGTATCCGATGCACCTTCGTAAACCATGGTGTTGTTGATTTCTGGTGCGTTCGATGATGCTACCGGGTTTTGTCCTGATGATGATTTTTGGCTGCATCATATGTAAAATTTTAACTGTTAGATTAGTAAAGAAAAACCTTGAATACATTACATAGTAACCATTCCTTTTACGTCAAATATGATGCTCAGAATGATCTCATTAAGTCGGTTGTTGAGTATTGCCGACACTACAACGCAAGTTTGCTACAATTTATATTATTGTCAAAACAAACAAACAAACAAACAAACAAACAAACAAAAATTTGATATTTTTAAAGTAAAGAAGAAATGTTAAGAATGTCAAGTATTATCTTCACATTAAGGGCTGGTTTGACTTATCCTAAATAAGCCAAAAAGTCAAAAAATTACTTCAAAATCCAAAAAGATATCACTATTCACCAAAAAAAAAAAATTAAAAAATTAATTTTCTTCAAAAAAAAGTACACACCGAATTGATGTGTGTGCAACTGCTGTGTGCGGCAGTGGAGAAAAAAGAAATGATTGGGTGTGGTTTTTACACACACCCTTGTTCGTCCTATGGGGGTCATCACGGGTCCCGTTTTGATAATCTGAACCGTTCAATGTGTAGAAATCGTCGAGTACTATATGTCTGCAAAAAATCACATTGATCGGATATCGATAACTATATGATCAAATCAGTTATGTACAACAAATGGATGGTGTTATAATTAATGATTGAAAAATAAATAGATCTGATCAGATAGCTATCGATATCCGATTAACGTAATTTTTTATAGCTACATAGTGTTCGACGAGTTACACACATTGAACGGTTCAGATTATTAAAATGGGACCCGTGATGACCCCCACGGGCCAAACAAAACCGTCCAATGCTTTTTACAAAAATTAGCCAATAATTTCCAACTCCAATTGAGTTTGCCGGTTGTACAGCCGGTTGTATGGCTGAGGCCCACTCCTCTCTTATCATCTCTTACACACTTTTTTTATACAATTTTTTAATACACATTTTTCCATAAAAAGTCAAAAAGTTAACCCAAACCTCCATATTTTTTTTTTGTTTTTTTTAATCCAAAAAGATAAAAAATGTACTTTTTTAGGACACTCCAAACCAGCCCTAAAGAGAGAGCTATGCATGTGATCAATTTTCGTAAAGCCGCTTTCATTTTTCCTTTTCTCTAGAAATCTTTCTTTAGATTATATGTTCGGATTATGGTGTTTTTGAGAAATTTATGAATAAAAAAGGAATTAGAGGAATTTTTTTTTTAAAAAAGTACATATATTTCTAACTCTAAATAAAATGTTATTTATTTCTATATTTTATTTCATATTTTATATATTCATGCAAAACATCATATTATACCATATGCAAGTTATGATAAATATATATTTTTCAATTAAAACTAAAAAAATACTATTATAACCAAACGTTACATAAGATATAATTAATTTTTTTTAAAAAAAAATTATAACTAAAATAATATAATAATTAACATCACAATCATAAATATTCATAACTAGTTGGTCATCATCATTTTTCCAATGGCTTAGTCTTAAGATTGTGTTTAATTGGAGAAATGGAAAGAGAAACACAAAGAAAAAGAAAGAGAGAAATACAATATCACTTTTGCGTTTTACATTCACTTAAGACTTCTTTCATTCTCTATTTCCTAACTCAACAATTATAACTTGGAATTCGAATCAAATTAATTTTTTTTATTTTTTTTCTATTTCTTTTTTACATTTTATTTTTTTTATTAAATTTTCCAACTAAACACAATCTGAAAAGGAATCATAAAATCAACTCCCCTTGAGAAGAAGTGAATTAAAAGGGACAAGCCCTTATCTGATAATTAATAATCAACATTCGCCAATTATTTTTTTGTAAGGAGGGTGAATAGAGTATATCATGTTTTTTCAAATTGACCACCGCAAAATCGGGGTGTGTGCCGTCGTGTTTGACCGTTGAATGGCTGTATTGAGCAAGGATTCTTTAGAGTGATTTTTTTCTAAAGTTTCCTACAGTGTTACATTGTGTGGTTGAGATTTACTGGCAAGTCACATCAAAAAATTGATGTGACTTGCCAGTAAATCTCAACCACACAATATAACATTCTAAGAAATTTTAAGAAAATTTTACTCTAGAAGATCCTTAGATCACAATCATAAATATTCATAACTAGTTGGTCATCATCATTTTTCCAATGGCTTAGTCTTAAGATTGTGTTTAATTGGAGAAATGGAAAGAGAAACACAAAGAAAAAGAAAGAGAGAAATACAATATCACTTTTGCGTTTTACATTCACTTAAGACTTCTTTCATTCTCTATTTCCTAACTCAACAATTATAACTTGGAATTCGAATCAAATTAATTTTTTTTATTTTTTTTCTATTTCTTTTTTACATTTTATTTTTTTTATTAAATTTTCCAACTAAACACAATCTGAAAAGGAATCATAAAATCAACTCTCCTTGAGAAGAAGTGAATTAAAAGGTACAAGCCCTTATCTGATAATTAATAATCAACATTCGCCAATTATTTTTTTGTAAGGAGGGTGAATAGAGTATATCATGTTTTTTGACCACTGCAAAATCGGGGTGTGTGCCGTCGTGTTTGACCGTTGAATGGCTGTATTAGGCCTAGACGGGCTTGCGTCGGAACTCGGGAACTGTGTCGTTACAGATACAGCCACTACAGCTGCAGAGGACTTCCATGTGCATTGTTATTTGGGGAAAAAAATCCTAAAGATCTTACACAAAGATTAACCTAAAAGACTATACCATTAAAAAAAGACTATATGATACACATATATACTATTTATATCTTAAAATTATAAATAAAAACTGACATAATTTAAAATTTTGGAAAGGAGGTTGGGTTTGATAGTAAGAAAGGAATTGAGAATAAGGTATTTATTTTAAGAGATAGGGAGGGGACTAGTAATCTCTTGATATTAGTAAGGAAGAGGAAGAGAGATTAGTAAGAAAAAAGTAGAGATGATATTAGAAAAATAGTAAAGAGATTAAAAAAAATTTTATTTTTTATATATTGAAATTTTTTTTTAAATATAATATTTATTTATTTTATTATTTTATATAAAAATAATTTAATAGTTTCTATTAATTTCCTTAATAATTTCTTATTATCAACCATCTCACTATTAATTCTTTTATTCTATCTCTCAAAATAAACGCGGCATAAGGAAAAAGTTTGACTACGACACACTTGAAACGATTTGTAGAAAGGGATCGTTGTCACGTTAGGACGGAAACGATTAAAACATTACGGCCTTACTTAGTTTGACTTCCGAGTGATAAGTTTTTAAAAAATATTTTGAAAAATGAGTTTAAAATTTTTTATAGTTTATTTGATTTTACATTTTAAAAATAATTTGAGAGTTTAGAATAATTTGATATTTGTTGTAATTAAATAGATGTATGTGAAAAAAAATAATTAAAAATGAGAGAGATGAGAAAAAAAATAATTGATTAATATGTAGGAAAGGAAGTTATTTTGAAAAAATTACAAACCAAACAAAACAAAATTTTTAAATATTGTTTCCAAAATCTTTTTTCCAAAGCCAAACCAAACAAGGCCGGCATCTCCTTTAGTGTTGAAAATATTTATAAATAATATGTAAAAAATAAAATTAAGAGGTTGCTTGTAATTACGTAAATAAATCTATTTTTTTATTTTTTTATGGAAAAGTTAAAAAGTGATATGAGTAAAAATAAATAAAATGATAAAAAATATATTATTTAATATTTGTCAAACAAGTTCTAAAATATGACAACAATAAATATATATTGAGATTATAAATTTTTTCACTTCTGGTTGTGATTGATAGTGGCAACTCTTTTGTCAATTGTCAAAAAATATTGTCAAAAAATGTATAATTTTATTACAAAAAATTATAATATCCATTACATTAATTATAATATGTGTAATTTTGTTATAAATTGACATAATAAAATATTTAAAATTTTATAATTCATGTTACAAGTTTGTGATGTAATTATGATATTTTTTATTATATTAATTTATGAAAATATTATATATTTTATAATTAATTAATATTATAAAATTCCGTAATAAAATTATACATTTCATTATGAACGATTATCCGTCCGCTTGGATTTATTGGTTACCAAATGCCAACCACATCCCCATGCATTAAGCTGGCGATACTTTTTTGAAAAGTGAATTATTTATTTGTTTGTTGACTTATTATAAAAAAAATATATAAATAAAATAACATAAAAAGATAATATGACAATAAACTAATAAATCAATAAATTTACTTTTTTACATCTTGCCAAAAAATTGACAATTACCTAGTGTTTGGTGATGCGCAATAGGTGATGAGATAGACGGCGGCACCTGCACATGTGAACGTGCTGGTCTTGTTATCATGAGCATAGCTATAAGCAGTCGGACACGCGCCGTTCAAGTCCACCTCGCATCCCGTGGTTGTACAATTCACTCCGGTCCCACCCTGAGGCACAACCAGCATCGGAAGGTTGTGCCCATCGACTAAGCTGACGCCATAGACGTCCAACCCGCCCGACCCGTCGAGAGTGAATTCTGCCAGCGTGGCGGGTGGGGCTGGGTGGCCGCCTGAGCATTCTAGTTTGCCAGAGCCGCAATCGCCTGTGACGCAGGTGAACTTGCCGGTGGAGTCTTCGGTGCAGCGGGTTCGACCCCATAACTGGCCGCCCCAAGAGGAGGGTGGGTTTATGGTCTTTGACTCGCCGGTTTGGAGAGAAAAACCGGTGGTGGAGAGAGGTGCGATTCCGGCGTTTGATAGAATGCCTGGCCAGACTGTGTAGTCGCATTTGTTTACGAATGTGAATGTTGCTGATGCGAGTACTCCTGCAAATTAAAGACAAGTAATCAAATCAGATTGTGAACATGAAATTAAATGCTAACATGTTGATTTATTTTTGGTTGTTGTAGTTGTTGTTGTGGGTTTTTTGAGTCTTTTTACCTGGTATGAAGAGGTGGAGGATTGTGGGTGTTAGTACTGAAATTAATAGCCAAACTTGAGCCATTGTGTCAGTACTGAAATTATAGCCTGGTATGAAGAGTGGGAGTATTGTGTTGGGGGAATTGGTCCAAGCGAAAGGCAGAGGATTGCCAGATCGTCTATATATAGAAAAAAAAATGTTTGGTTTGGATTTGTAGAATGATTTTAAGAAAAAAATTAAAAAAAATTTGTTTGGTTTGTAAATTTTTGAAAACAATTTTTAAAATTATTTTTTTTTCTTACTTATCAATTAATCACTTTTTCTCTCTCCTCTCTCATTCTCAATCATTTTTTTTTCTCACATATATCTACTCAATTATAACAAAATATCAAATCATTTTAAACTTTTAAACTCTAAAATTACTTTTAAAATATACAACCAAACAAATTAAATTTTTTTTTAAATTCTTTCCAAAATAATTTTTAAAAACTGTTCTTCTAGAACCAAACCAAAGATACCCAAAATGTGTAGTAATACAGATGAGTGGGTTAGCCTAGTAAAAGTTGGCGTCTCTTTGACTTCTGTATGGGTTGACCCGACACTGCTCTACTAGTAAGATTTGCAATACATTAATGTTATTAGAATCATCGTTCCAAACAAAAATATTAACGTCACCAAACACGAAATAAACGTATCAGACTGATATATCCGTTTGGTCTTGAATCTTTTAAAATTTTAATTTATATTTTTATATTTTTAATAATTATCAAAATATTTTAATTAATTTTTAATTCTGATTTATTTAAAAAGTAAAATATTCATATAAACATATTTAAAAAATTTATTAAATACAACAAAATAAGAAAATATATTAATTTTTTGTTTTTGTTTCTCCATTTTTTGTATTTGGCGAATTTTTTATTTTAAAAATTCACAAATATTATACTTTTAAGGTGTATTTAGATTAGGTATATCTTAAAAATAAAAATAAAAAAATTGTATAAAATATTAAAAATTTTCATTAAAAACAAAAAATTCAATTTTTTAAAAATTAAATTTAATTTTCTGGAACCAAACATTACTTTCCAAAATACAAAAACCTCACAATGGATGTCTGTGTGTAAAAATTGTTTAGTAAGTTTGATTTATAATAATAAGAGTGTAGGTGTGGTGTCATTCTGTGTAATTTGCGAATAAAATTAAAATTAAATTTTAAATAGCAGATTGACAAATTTATTATGTAGATTGACAAATTTATTATCCATAATCAAATTGGGATTTGAGCGATTGGAAAGTTTCAACTTATTAGTTGATTAATGAATAACCTTAAACAATTATTAAATATTTATATAATATATAACACTAATTTGTATAACATTTGTCATATATATTACACTAACTAAGGATGTGCGTGGTGAAATTCAAGTGGTTTGAGAGTAAAATTATAAACCTGACAATGAATGATATATTGGCAATTTATCAAATCATGGTTTGTGACAGTTTCACTTTGCTAACTGATTGAAGAATATTTTTAAAGAATTATTAAATATGCACATAATATAAGGTTTATTACACATCCTACTCTTAAACTATTGTACCTTATAACTAAAAAATAAAATATGTACCTTTAAAATTAAAATTATTTAGTAAGTTTGATTTATAATAATAAGAGTGTAGGTGTGGTGTCATTCTGTGTAATTTGCGAATAAAATTAAAATTAAAATTAAATTTTAAATAGCAGATTGAAATTTTATATCTCTAAAATATTTAATTCAAACATGTTTAGTCCTCAAAAAAGAAATTCTATTCTAAGAAATATTAAAATTTTATTTTATCTTTAAAATGTATTTTATTTTACTATGTGTTTAAATTAATATCAAAGTATAGTTTCTCAATCTTACTAATAAAATTATACGAGTATTAGATATATTGAAAAAGTAAAAAGGCATTGGGTCTATAAATTTAATTTTTGATTTCTTAAGTCTAAAAGACCACGGACTAATTTACTATGTCTACAATGACAAGTTTTGCTGAAATGACCAAACTATCCATAGATATATCTACGTGTTCACCTATCCTTTCTAGGTTTTTCGTTTTTTGATTGACTATTTACTCTAGGTCGCAGATATCTCTCTCTCTCTCTCTCTCTCTCTCTCTCTCTCTCCTCGTGACTATCGCGGCCACCCTGAGCGATGGTTGGCGTCGGACACCATCCCCGACAATGCATTAAGCGCCAGATCGATGCAGGGAACAAACTCCGGATCATCGCCAGTGACAGAGGAGTTCATTGAAGTATCGTTTGATTGTTGGAACAATCTTCTGTGTAAATTAAATAACTTGAAACAAATCAAACAAAAAATAAATTACTTACAAAATTTATTTTACCGAAATGTAAAAGTGCAAAAAAATCAAATCGAGTGTGTAACACTCTATCCTTAAGACAGATTCGCCCCGCTTCGGTGCTTACGGATAAAAAGCATCTATCTCCCAGAATACAATGACATTCACAAATTGTAATAGCACTCCAAATAATTTGTACGGCGAACAAAACCTATGTTCTTATACTTTCAAATATTTCTCCTAAAAATAATATGAAGAATAAATAATGCTGAAAAATCTAAAAATCCGCTAGATATTGATTTGTGATTATGTATCAATTTAAAGCAATAAAACAATCCCAATCAAACAATCAAGACAAATCGATACAACGATTTTAACGTGAAAAAATCACAATTGGAGCACCTCCAATTGTGATAAAAAAAAAAATCACAGGCAACAGTCACAAAACAATCCACTAAGAAGATATAAAGGAATTACACAAGTATACTCTCAATAACCTAGCGAATCCATGCCCGAATTGAACCAACCCCTATGTGTCTCTTCCAACCACGTCTTCACCTCAGAATTGTCTTGACGATGAGCCACTCCAGAATCCACCAAAGCTTCAGGCTCAAATTCTTCAGAATCCACCGAAGAACAACTCTCCCTTTTTTGTAGAATGAACAAACAAACCTTTGATGTATTCTTCTTAACCCATGAGTTGAATACTCAACTAAACATCAAAGAAAACTTAGCAAAATATCCCCAGATATAAACCCTAGAACCCAAAAAGAAGATCTGGAGAAGTTATCCTAAAATATGACTGAATCACGTATTTATAGAAAACTGTCCTGCGAGTCGAGCGGACCTGCGCTCGAGCACGGAAAGTTCCGCTCGAGCAGGAAAAAACAACATCAGTATTTTTGCAGGCGAACAAACTTCTGAAACCCAGCATTCTCCGCTCGAGCGGGGGAATGTCTGCTCGAGCGGACAGGTAACTTGGAATGCATTTTTGCATTTTTCTTCGGGGGCGCTGCCTCGAACCCACCAAGGGACGCTGCCCCCTGGACCCTCGCGAGCTGACCAGGCAGCTCGATCCCCGTCATAATCAGCGAAGTGGTAATCTTGGAAGCATTAACATCACAAATTTCTCTGCAAGGCACAATTCAGGTTGGATTCTCATCTAACAACTCATAGTCTCACTGAAATAAAAGAGCGAATAAAATTACAACTGAAAGAAGTTTTGTCAAACGGGATTGCCAAGAATAAAAACCTAACAATCTCCCCCTTTGACAATGCCATGACAAAACACACCTAACAAATAAAATCTAAACACCCCAACCCATTACAGCCAACAAAAACAAACTTCTTTCTGACGGCCAGGATCTGCAAAACAACTATTAATGCCACAACCTCCAAAACAACTATTAGTCCTACAAGAGTATATGAAAAAAACAATACACATATAACAAGATTATCTTGAAGCATGAGATAGAAAACATGAATAGATGCGACTTGGAGATTTTAAAAACATGTAACATGAATAAGTAAAAACTAAGACACATGCATCTGCACCCGACACAACATAACTCCCCCTTTTTGGCATGAATTGACACAGGAAGCTCAAACAATGAACAAGAAGAAAAACATAATTACTTAACCGAACTCCCCCTTACTAAAAACAATGAACAAGAAGAAAAACGACAAAAAAATAATATGGTGGAGCAAGCAAGAAATCTCAGATTTGTACCTTAGAACACACAAGATTATCCAAGAAACATAATTACTTGAAAACACAATGTGCGCAGTCTCTAGAAGATTCCTCATAAAAGAAAGTGATGCATTATGTGAAAAGCATAGATCCCATGAAAAAAAGTGTGTGTGTGACTCTTGGAGTTCGACAAACACTAGATTCAAATCCTAGTAGTGATATGAAAGCTGGACCTCCGACAAGAGAATCTAAGCATACCAAAGGAAAGTCAAACCACTAGGAATCAAGGGGTATTTGGTGAGTAAAGGCGAAGGCTCCACATCAATCAATGAATCATTTATTTTTTCCTTTCTTTTTCACATCTTTTTCTATTCTTTCTTTTACACATCTTTTTTTTTTTTTTGTTTCTTTCTTTTGCACATTTTTTCTTTCTTTTACACACTCATTGGCGGCTGACACGCTCAAGAGTATGGAAACCGAACCAGAGAATCATGGATATAATAAGGATGGCCTGGTTGGTGACTCTGAGGTAGCCTTTTCCTCATGGCTGGACTACAAAGAACAGAGGGGAAAGCCGTGGAGATGGAAAAAGATGGAAGATGGTTAAGAGACTCAACATCACCCATGATATGCTAGTATAGGTCAATTCCTCTAGAAAAGTAAAAGATACAATGCCAGAAGTCTATAGAAAAATATAACCACTAAGGCGGAAAACTCCGATATTTTCTAATCCAAGAGTGTGTACAGAATGAGACATACTAATCAAAAAATACACACTCCAAAATGAGTAATGACCACAGAAAGCACACACATATTAACTTGTAATGGATATTCTCATCAATTCCAATATGTACCAAGGACCACTCAAAAATTTGAAACTTGCAAAACCATACTAAAAAAATCTTTTTGGATTTTTTTTTCATTATTTTTCTTAACCAAAGCAAGACAAAAAAACAAACATGCACACATTTTTATCTCATTAAAAAAAAACACACAGAAACCCAAAAACTAAAACAAATAAACAAATTAATACAAGTCAAGTTTTCTCACCCAAACCGCTTTAGTATAAACAAAGTTGTGAGCATTTCGGTTTTTGGGTGATGTCTTGACATTGTGGTTCCCTTTGCCTTCAATGGGAACCCGTCTCGACT